TCTAATTCTAATATAATACTACAAACATGTTTTAATAGTGATGAAATGGTGGAAATAGATAATTATTTTCATACATTGTCATCATCCTCTAAAAATGGTAACCATGAAGTTTATAATACTCCACATTTAAATACCACCACTACTATTAATACTACATCCAATAATAATATTAATACTACAAATACTACATCCAATAATAATACTGCTACTACTGCTACTATTAATAATAATCATAATTGTAATAATAATAATACTGTTACCACTCCGGCAATCTTCCATGTCAAATAATAATTTTACATGCGCAATGGCAACAGTTGACATTCCACATTTTAATATTCAATCATCCAATAATAATAATAACAGTAATAATATTACATTAAATACATCAAATAATACATTTAATAATATAATAATCCATCATCAATAACACAATCCAATAATGATCATACAATTGCATCATCACCAATTAAATCATCTACAACTGTTTCATCACCTCCAATGGAAACATCATATTCTATTGAATATTACAATAATATTAATAATAATATTACAAATAATAATACTGCCAATCAACCAATTTTCACATTTTACAATTTTGACCCAAATAATAATTTTTCGAGTAATAATAACATTCAATCATCCAATATTAATAATAATATTAATATTAACAATAATAATACCACATCCACTACATCCAATAATAATAATTTTATTAATTTTTCACCATCTAAAAATTCCAATTTTGTAAAAGAGGCTAAAAAATCATGTAAAAAACGAACATTCAATAATAATATTAATACAAACATTACATCATCATCAAGTCAATCAACAAGTTTATCACCAACCAACAATACTCCAACATCCAATTCAACTACAACAACTAGTGGTAGTAAAATTACTAAAAAAAGAAAAGCAACAATGAGAGGTAATACATCATCACAATCATTTTCAAAAGAATCACCATGGCAATTTCATACTTATAGTGAAGGTAAAAGACAGGATTGTAATAATTTGGTTTTCTTTCATTTTAAACCAAATCAATAAATAGAGATGATGAGAATTTCAATTTTGATTTATTATTTAATTAATATTTAATTTTTAATAAGTAGTTGAGAAATGATTTTTATTATACTTTGATATTTTGGAGAATAGTGATGTGATAATGATAATTCATTAAGCTACAACAACTGCACTCAATATAATGAATAGCATACTATTTCGGAGTTGATTCAGAGAGTGCGTACAAATATTTTGATTTTTTTCAAATCCACCAATCCAATATGAATGCACGTTGTAATTTACAAAATTGTAAAATGATTCTCTTGTAAAATTCAAAAAAAAATGTCTCAACATCAAACTATTGATCAACAACATGTTGATCTCCACTCTTCCATTGATATTAATCAACCATTAAAATTTACTATATATAGTATACCATCAACAGCTGGTATGATACCACGTATTATTTTAGGTGAATTATTAAATAATACAAATACTCAAAATATTCATCAAGTTGAAATTATTAATTTATCAAAGAGATGTCAGGATTTAAAATCTGAAAAATATTTAAAATTAAATCC